AAAGACAACGAAATGGCACTAATAATTAGTGACAGTAACGACGAATAAGGGAAAGACAAGGGGAAAGGGGGAGGGGGTGCGTGAAGGCGGATGCGTTGAGGGGGGGGGGGGGGGGAAGGGGTGACTGGCCGTATTCTTATTTTTAGGTTATGCGAAACTGAGTCGGAATTATGCTTCTTTTCAAAAAAATCTTAGCATGCTTGTTTATGTTAAGCCGTAGTGCATGAAAAGGTTAGTGTAGAAACACTTCTGAAAAGGCCGCGCCTGGCCCCTCCAGAGAACGGCAGAATGGTAATCTATAAATTATGGGGTCATTCTTGATGGCTTGGGAGCCGTTATTGAAGAGGGGGCCGGTCCTACTCAAATGGTAGTGACGGTAACGATGGATAAGGGAATAAGGAGGAAGGGATGCACATGCAGGCGCGTACGCAGGGGGGGGGGGGGGGTCGAACCCCCCTGAAATTTTTGTCAAGTTGTCAAGTTGGTCCTGATGTGTATAATGCGTAGACCAGGGGTTCTCAAACTTTTTCTTTGACGGTCCAGAAGCGATTTCTATGAAAGCTATAAGGTCCGTAATGACACTTGTATACTGAAGATAATTAATGTGGCTTGTTTTTGGTCTATATATGATCCAAGGGGAATTGTTACAGTTTAAAAAAAACCAGAACCGCCAGTGCTTCCACTCGTTTAAATAGAGTTTCCTGAAAAATAACACCCAATATCCTGGAATTTGAAGGAATTTTCTTAAAACTTTCAAAATGCCTCTTACGTGGATTTCTTGCAGTGACGTTTTAATATATATATTAATTATTGAGTGGGCTTAATTTGCTTTCTAATGGATCCATACAACATGGCAGAGCTTGAGGGGTCTGGCAGAGCCTTTTCAAGAGAGAAATTGTCTTTCCAAAAAAAAAAAGAGGTTATTTCTTAAATGAAATGAAAGGGCTATTTGACTTTCAAGAGAGAAAATTGTCTATAAGAGACCTAGTTCTCGTTCGGGTTGTACAAAGTACTCCTATAGTATACGACGACAATAAATCGAGTGCTCCGCGGTAAGTTCGTATGAGAGGTTCTATAACTTCAACCCTCGACCAAAATAGCCCAATCCTAACATAAAATTATTCTTTTAATACTAACCATATACTTTTGACGAAATAAAAACCAAATTAAATACCACTGGAGCAAAAGACATGTACTTAAACAAAAATACTATAGATTATTGTATATGAAGGGAGTAGTAGATGAGGACTGCATGGAATCTGTTGTTTCGAATGTTTTATGCTCTTGCATTTATACACGTTTATTTGATGCATACCATGTCATGTATTACTATTCTATTCATTACTACTGAAAGCCTTTCACATACCATGCTTGTTGTAACTCGTTCAGGGAGAACAGTACATTTCCCAGATCGCTATATTATGTTCAATACGGTTTGGCATTTCAAATGAGATTTTCTCATATATTTTCATTCGGAATATTACTTTTTCTCTATTATCGCCCATTTCCTTCTATTCAATTCTACCCAATTTGGGAGGACATTGCCCTCCGACATTATGCCAGGCACTGCCACCCTAAATGTGTCAACAAGACAAAGTGTCAGCTTAATGGCGTAATGGCCCTGGACACCGCAGTTATCACCAGTGACTCATTCTCCCTTCCCAGAACTCTCTTTGTTTTATCCTGCCTCCCAAGAAGGATGAAAACAACATCTTCTCTCTAACTTTCTTCGCTACTACACCTCTCAAAAAGGGCGCGTTCATGCTTGATTTTGAAGGTAGAATGGGCGATCTGAAACGCTCATCGTAAACGCTCATCGTGATCGCAGTTCCACGGTGCACTGTTCATGCTTACTTCTCTGGCTCATCCAGGCAATTCTCCTTGTGTGGCCTTAATTGGTATTCCAGCTGGATTCGCAAACCTTCACTGTGCATGCTACGTAGACCAAATAGAGGTCAGAGCGTTGACCGCATTTCAACGCGTTTACAAATTGTAAACGCATCTTTTTGTGAGTTTACGATCGGCGATCGTGATCGCCGTTTTTCGGTGATTCTACAAAAGTAAGCTAAGACGCAACCGTGTTTTAAACTAAACGCGTAACAGATGCCTGATTCTGGCCAGAAAAAGTGAAGCATGAACACGCCCTCAACACGTCGATTTGAGAATGTCACCTCTACTTCTACAATTTGCTTCATGCATACACAAGGAGCAAATCCATCTTCAATTTTAACCTCCTGCATTTCTTTTGGAGAATTCTCTTTCGTGCCTATCACCTCTTTTATGGCACGTCGCTAACTCTTTCTCTGCCGTCTTCAAAGGACGGGCAGACTTTCAGTGGAACGTTCAAATCAGGACCCGACATGGCACCTGATTCTCCGCTGGGAGCTGCCAGCTTCTTCGTTCCGGTAGCTCTTTTCACACCCGAGCTCGATTCACTGTAGCTCGTCTGAACTTTCATCAACGAGTCCATCTCACTGCAACTCTGATGATTTCACTTTCACAAAGTCCGGCTCATCGATCCAGCATCGAGCGACTCACTGCTCTTCACGATCACCACTATACCGGCTTTGATACATTTCAACCTGGGCCTCCGACATCGAGCGACTCACTGCCTCGTCGTCGAGCGCCACATCTCTTCTCTTTTCTTCTCGCCCGAGCGCTACATTCATCATCATCATGAGCGTCGGCATCGACATCGCGTTCTTCTCGGCTCTTCAGCCACGTCAACGAAGTCGCGTTTCCATCATCAAGCCTCCGCACAATCATCGCGTGAGCCCCTTTCTTCGTTTCATCCGTCATCATCTTCATGGACTTTCGACGTCATTTCTACCATTGTCGTAAGCTCTATTTATTCATCGCATTTGATTTATTCATGTCCATCTCATACATGACCCAGGGCATGTGAGTTAAATCTCACCTCCCTGCATGACCATTTAAACTCCGTGCAATATCCACGATCCTCATTAATGTGATTCTCATTCTGAATCATTTATTTGCTTGCATGACTACACTTTGCAAGTGTTGTGTCTGCAAATCAGTACCCAATAAAATAACGAAAAGGGAATACTTTTTATCATGTATTTTATTGCCAGTGCAGCCTTGTTTCCTCGTAGTTAAATTAAAAAGAGAGTTATGTTGTGTGATCAGTGAACCTTTACAATTTCCATTCACAATTCATCTACACACTAATAATTCCACAGACCTAATGTGGATAAGCAGTATACAAAATTATTTTCTCTTTTTTTTTTCTCCCCTTTCCAATCGTATCCAGTTTAATTTTAATAACCAAAACAAGGAATTAAAACTAAAAGAAACCAAATAAAACAAAACAAATAAACATGATCGTGAAGGCAATCCATCTAATTGAAATGGTCATTCTTATTTATATTTATGATTCTTCATTAGAAATTGCAAAATCATATAGATCTAGACTCTACTCTCAAGATTCTATATGATTTTGTGAATTTTGATAAAGAATTTTAGTGTCATGGTTTTACTTTTTTTTGGAAACCAATAAACTATCTATCTAGATCAGCAAGAAACAATTATACAAAACAGGGGAACCCTGCACTTTACCGGCATGACGTCACTAGCTTAGTAATGATGTCCCGTCGAAAATGCAAAGTTTCGAGATCTTTGACCAACTTCAGAGTCATGCCACAAAAAAACACGCAAAAACACGCATATGGGACTGGTATCAGTTTAAAGTTTACAATCTCCTCTTTCCTTCTAATATATATAAATATGCACATCATAGCGCAAGGTTGAGTAAATGTCCTTCAATATTCATATTCATATCGTCCAAAGAAATCATAACTGTCCGTGTAACTTGGTGCACCCGGGTTACATAAAATTACATAAAATCTTCCCCGTCTGATCGGGCATTATATTCCCGACGGCTAGCAGGGGGGCTCGTGGCAAGTCAGAGGGGACATTCGTTTTATACGAGAAGGGGATTCTAGCCGTGGTTTCCCCTTCTCTGGCTACACGCTTGGATTTCACATATTTTGATTTTAAGGGTTATGTATGGGGTGCAGATTTTCCTCATCTTTCAGCATAGATTCCAGCACTAGTTCTGTATTTGGGTTGGATACTCAAATCAGTGTGTAATACAATTATAATACAATTATCATATTGGTGTGAATTCATGTACCGACACGGTCATGGTTAAATGATACATGTAAAAAAATGACAGTAACCAATGATAAATAAAGACACGAAAAAATGCATAATTCATACAGTTTGTCGATTCCTCATTTATCAGCGCGAATAAAAGAGGATATAAATCTCGCATTTATCGAATGCAAACTATTGAGCCCTTCATTAAACATCTGAAAGAAATATTACGAGATAATATACAAAGTAAGGATACTGACATTCACTTCAACACCTGCTCAAAATAGATTGTGAAAGTCATTGTACTTTATTCTTTACAATAGCATTTTGGACCATTTATAAATTGATTGTTAAACGAAATATAACTTGGATAGACAAGAGAAAAGTTGCTTCTAAACAAATTTTCTATAGAGAAATTATAAAAAGATTGGAAAGTAAATCAAACATAAAGATGACCAGAAAGCTTTTACCAAAAGAACTGTTAGGTGTTATTTAAGAAAAGAAAAAGAAAAGAAAAAGGGAGAAAGTACAGAGCTCAACTTGACAGCTCAGGTCCAAAGGTTTTATTTATTGTCAATATTGTTTATTGTCCATCGCGGGGCCTACCTCTCACCGTCGATCCGGTAGCTAAAGCATTGTTAATTCAGTTACCGAGGCGTTCGGAAGGCCTATGCATATCGAATGTTTAATTTATTAATTTATCGATTGACTGATCGAATTGGTTTAATATGATAAAAAGAAAGAAATAATTACAGCCATGCGCTTTCTTGGTCAGATAAACCATAATGAAGCTCGAATAATATATACGGAGGTAAATAAGCACAACATAATTATAATTATGATTCCGAAAACGACTATATTTTGTACGATATATTTGTATTTACCAGAGTAGAAGCTGTACCGTATACAACCGTCGGCCGTCAGACGAGACTCTCAAACGAAATGTGATTTTTTGGATGCTAGTGCTGTAACTCCCTCACACGACTCTGATCGCTAATAAAAAGGACGTTATATAGCCAAGGCGTTATTGCTTTTTCTATTACGTCTATGGTCAGATCATGGACCCTCAAACGATTTGTGGCAGTGTCCCTGGTTGGATGCTAGCGCTGTATAACTCCTACGCGACTCAATACGAAAGCTAGGTCTACTCATCGCTAATAAAAAAGTACGTTACAGCCAATCAAGGCGTTATAATGTCCGTGTTGCAGTGAGCTGACCGTTATCAGCCTTTTGTACGTCGGACCATTGTATTATAAAGCCTTTTGCTTGATCGTAAGGTCAATGGCTCATCGTGTATTGACGAAACTTAAGATCAATCATAACTCTTTCGAATCCAAACGACGAATGAGACTGGTTTTGTCATGCTTAATATTATTGGGTACCACTCGACTATTGGGGGGGGGGGGGGCGAAAGAGCCAAACTTGATAGCTCACTGAGTCCAAAGGTTATTGTCAATGTTGTTTATTATCCATCGCGGGAACCTATATCTCACCGTCGCGTCGGTCTGGTCGCTAAAGCATTGTTAATTTAGTTACCGAGGCGTACGGAAGGCCCATGCATATTGAATGTTTGATTTTCTAATATATCGATCGACTGATCAAATTGGTTTAGTATGATAAAAACAAAAACTCTGAACAAGCAGCCAAAGGGCTGATGATATTCAATAAATTTACCGGCCATAAACTATTCAGAATATACAAATCAAGATGAAAATCAAGAAGAACGAATCCTCAATCATTGTGTCGAAATTAATACCAATGTAGTACATCCTGCAATTACACTGAATACCAGGCGCGTACGCAGGGGGGGGGGGGTGTTTGGGGGGTTAAACCCCTCCCTTTGGTATTTTTATGTATGTAAACCCCCCTAAAAAAATACCAAACCCCCCCCCCCCCTTTGTATTTTTTTTTTTTTTTTTTTTTTTTTAATTATTAAAAAAAAAATTACACCCATGGCTGACCTAAGAAAGGTGACCTCACCCCCCCCAACGTAGCAAAATGTCAAATTTTCAAATTTCGAGACAAAAAAAAAAAAAAAAGTTTCCGCTTACCCCCCCCCCCCCCCCCCCCCCCCCCCCCCCCCACTGAGCGACTTTTCGGCTGGCTGAGTCGTTGCGATTTTGTTTGGACTCCCCCCCCCAAAAAAAAAGTGTCTGCTTACCCCCCCTCCCCCCCCCCCCCCCACTGAGCGACTTTTTGGCCGGCGCGATTTTCAAATTTTCCTGAGTCGTTGCGAAATTTTGGACCCGATTTTAAAACCCCCCTCTTGAAAAAATATTGCGTACGCCACTGCTGAATACCATTTTAAAATTTCAATTTGGTGATTGATTGTTTATTGGGGGGGGGGCTACTAGTTATAAGTTGGAAAGAACATAACAGTACATGTATCGAGTATCAGGAATTATAGGTACATTATGAGGGAAATGACTGAAACAAGAGCACGAAATATACTCCAAAATAATCATGGGTTCAACTGATTGACCAATTGTGAAGGCTACGTTATAATTATTACATTCGTGAAGGGATTAAAAAAAAAAAAGGTTTATGTTATCGTGTGTCTCATCTCAATTCCATTTCAGTGAAGGATTCTCGAAAGGGACGACGTCGAGAAAGAAAGACAGAAAGAGAGAGGGGAGGTTCTCCCCTCTCTATCTATATGTCTCCCTTTCTTTCCCTGAGTACCGGACTAATTCATTGTTTTATTATCCAGCAGTTGGACTTTTAATGTACTTTATTCATGTGTTAATGATGTGGATTGAAAAAAAAACACCTCGAAAGTCTAATTTTGCTAAATAAAACCCGTTAACAAAATAGCTCGTCAGAGAGTTCTAATGTCCTGTTCAACATGTGCAGATATTCTGAGTGCTGTTATCCTTCTTCCTATTCTTCTTCCGTTCTTCTTCTTCTTCGATCTTGTTTTATTATTATTTGAAAACCCATCTCAACTTACATTTCTCAATTACAAGATGAATAAATGGGTCGAGGACTCGAGATTAATCTTATATTGCTTAGTTACACGACATAACAATAGCCTGATCAGACCATAAGCAATTTAACTCCCTGTTCCGAGAAAAGTCTAAAAATGCAAAACCCGTATAAACGGATTAAACGTAATTATTTATAGGCCTACAAAGTTTTGGTATGGGGTTATGACTTTGGTTCAAATAAACTTATTGGAAGCATATGCGATCGTACAATATTCAGTGATCGTTGTCGCGGTTGAACTCTAGTCTAAAGTGATGAAATTGTAAATAATACACTATTTGTGTTGTATAGCTCCCTCTCAAGGCCAATATATTAATTTAGCTATAAATCAATGTTTCTTGACTAAAATCGACCGATTGGCTCTTTTCGTTTGGAAATTATATATCACAGCTACCATGGCCGTAGGCGCTATTTGAAATTTATCAAAATTTACCGGGAGCACCGATAAATTTTTATGATTCACTTTTTCTCGAAAGCAGAAGTGTTTTAGGGGCTAAATATTATTGTCTATAGAGCTTATGATACGCCCATAGGGGAGCACCGGTAAATTTTTATGATTCACTTTTTCTCGAAAGCAGAAGTGTTTTAGGGGCTAAATATTATTGTCTATATAGCTTATGATACGTCCATAGGGGCATCTAAATTTTCAACAACAAAAAAATCTGAAAACTTTGTATTACCTTTAACACAGATAAAAAGGATCTACTCGGGCAAAGGGGTTTGGTCAAATAATAAAGACTTGTGTCAAGCAACAACCAGAAAAGTGTGTGTGTGTGTGTGTGTGTAGGGGGTGGGGTGGGGTGGTTTGGAAGCCTCAAGACTCCTACATCCCTCCTGGACTCGCCTATACTGTCAATACTATGGTTGGTTTAATTAAACATGCATAATTAAAACCAATCCATTTGGAGCTTTGATCCAAACTCGGTACTTCTGTCTAAGAAGAATATTATTTTGGTTAGTTGTCAATGAAGGGGAAAAGAAGCGAGGGGGGGGGGGGTGTCAATATTGAGTAAGGTATATAAGGGAAATAAATGCATAATAAACATTTGCCACTCTCCACCCAGGTGTTAAATGGGTACCCGGTAGGATGCGAAAGCTAATGTGGTTAGATTAGCAAGTGTGCGCTTGTAAAAATGACACCTGGCTGGAATGCTCCCCAGGGAGTGGAGAATGTGCATACATTGTGTGCGGGTAAGCCTGAATCCAATGACCGGGGTAATAACATACTTTCCTGTAAAGCGCTTTGAGAGGGCCTCCGGTCCTGAAAAGCGCTATATCATAAGAAAGCTATTATTATTATTATTATTATTAAACAATAAAGCGGTAGATGGCGGTACTAACAAATCTTGAAGAGATGGTCTACAAGCAGCGCTCAAAATAAACGGGGGCGGTGGGCGATTCGCCCCCGTGAGCTACATAATCGCCCCCGTCAGGTTGCTCACGGGGGCGATTGCAAAATTAAAAATCGCCCCCGTGGAATTATAAAATAAAGATTATCTTTTCTGTTATAACTTTAACACAATATTGAGTTTCAATTTTCAAACCTTAAACCAATGAAATAGAACTTAGATTAGCGTGCAAGATTTCCCGTTCTATGAGTAGGCCTATTATTACCGATTCAGCTTGCAGTGCAGTGCCGCCGTCAGCAGTGGTTACAGGCCTACTGCGCCTTTAGTAACGGTACGTGTGCACGCTGCCGCGCCATGTCTGCTGGAGCTGGAGGCGATCCCGAAAGGGCAGAAACCCCGGCCCCCCACTCAGTGTTATTTAGGGTACGCATTATGCTTGTTCCCTCTTTTTGAAAGCACCCCCTATCTGAGGACTGCCAACATTTCCGAACCCCCCTTTCGCGGGCTTTTCGCGGGCTTTTCCTGCCTTGGAAACCCCCTTATTCATGAAAAATGCTCAATGTACCCACCTAAATTCGGAATAATTTCTCAGGAGTCCAAAGAGATGAGAGAAAAAAAAGAAAAAACACCCCCTTTTTAAAGAAATCTCCGGGTGAAAAGTTAAAACACCCCTTTTTTTTTACAATTCTCGGGCCGGACTTTGTCGCACGAAAAGTACCCCTTTACCGGACATTTTGGTAACACGCATAACCCCTTCCTCCCCCCCCCCCCCCCCGCCCCCTTGGGCTGCCAAGTGAAAATGTGATGTGCATAGAAAAACGTAGATGCCAGGAAAACAATACGGGGGTTAAAAATAGCAACAACAACAAAAATCGCCTCGCCGCTATGCGGCTCGTGGACGATGCTTGGCATGTAAGTAAATGCCAGGAAAACATCACTTACGGGGGTCCAAAATCAGGGGCGAACCAGCCGGCGGCAAGAGGGGGGGGGGGGGGGGCAAATCTTGAGAAAATATTTAGTGGCGAATCAGCCAGCTGGCGATCGGCGAATGAGCGGGGGGGGGGGCTGGATAAATGCACATATATTTGTTTAGGGGGGTCCAGTTTTTTGGGAACATATTTGCGTCGACTCAGCCGGCCGGTGAATATTAAAGCGGGAGGGGGATGCTGGACAGGAGGACCACTAATCTATTATATTTTTTTCAGGGGGGGGGGGGAGGGGAGGTGAAGCGCCGTTTTAGCATGACTTTCTTTTTAACTCTTACTTTCACCTATCTCAGATAACCCTAAGTTTTTGGTTGCTGCTTTATATGTAGTTGATAATGCATGATTAAAATAAAGAGAGAGAGAGAGAGAGAGAAAGAGAACCACCATCATTTTGCAATGGTTCAGGGTTTGTGTAATGTACATTTGAAACCATTTCTTAGCGTCTCAACCCTAACAAAATAGCGAAACTATTTTTGAGGAAAAGCATTATACTGAACTGAATAAAGAATAATAGCTTTATATTGGCTCATACTAATACTAATACGGGCTAAAGACTATGTGGTATTTGTAAAGAGGTATTCCAAAATGTCATTCTGATAATCAACATTTTGTTCTGGTATCATATGTATATGCATAATACAACTGGTCTTTATGATTTCTGAACGTGACATAGCTTCTTCTCCCCCTGCAAACAAAAAAGAAAACAAGGTTATTTAATAAAAGGATCATGCGACAAATAATCATTGTAATTCAAATTGTGCAAGGATTTTTTTGAATAAGCAATGCTTTTCACCAGAATCTTCTTTGTAAAAACGACCTTTACAAATCTCAGCCATGCAAATCTGCCACTGTGTTGTAAGATCACTTTCAGATTAGGAGAAGTGTATTCTTTAATGAGGATTTTACATTGAATGGAACGTCTCAACTCAGTAAGCATGGCTGAGATTTGTAAAAGTTGTTTTTACAAAGAAGATTCGGGTGAATAGCAGTGCTTATTCAAACAAATATTCGCATCAATTTGAATCGCAATCATTATTTTGTCGCTTAATCCCTTTTAATGACCTTGTTTTCTTTCTCGTTTGCAAGGTGAGAAGAAGCTATGTCACGTTTAAGACATCATAAAGATCAGTGTTGTATGCGTATATATTATATACACAGCCCCCGCGGAACGTTTATCAAAGTGTGGGGGGGGGGGGGGCTAAATCATTTACGATCAGGTAGAGGGTAGTGAGCGTAGATTGGTGGGGGGGGGGGGGTTCAGGGGTTTTAGGCATTTAATTACGGTCAGAGAAGCACAAATATTTTGATGCCGCATTTGTGTCACTGGCAGGTCAGGGGGGGGGGGGCGTTTTTTATTTAATTTTTTAAGGTAAAATTTACGTTACTATCCTATTTTTTTTACCGGTTTGGGAGGCTAGGGGGGGGGGGGGCGGTAGAATCGGACCGTGGATCCGCGCCTGTCCAAAATAGCACACACACAAAATCGCCTCGCCGCTACGCGGCTCAGTATAAGGTTGCTCCGAATAATGAGGAGGAAATAATGTGCAGAACGGGAAAAAAATCGAGAGAATGTCATCACGGGATGAAAGTCAGTAACAGCTATGTAGCTTGTAAATTTGTAAGAGGCAAAATGCTGATTAAAGTGATAATGATGAAATAGCAAATAATTGAGGAGTATCATAGGTACCAATTCAATGGATATTTGTATAAAAAAGAGCCCCCGTCAGTACTAAAAGAGCCCCCGTGAGAAGGCTCACGGGGGCTCTTTTTTTTGGGGGGGGGGGGGAAGAGCCCCCGTGGACAAAAAATTAATTTGAGCCCTGTCTACAAGCATTAGTAGCCGCCGACATCATGAAAAAAATGTAATAGCATGATCCTCGTTATACCGCTATCATCAACATCATCATTGTCGTTCTCATCATAGCAAATTCACCTTCACTAGCACTGCCTTCAATAACATGCCTCCTAGGAGCATGGGTATTCTCGTCATATACATCATCATAATGGTTTACTACTTCCACCATCACGCTCATCTCCATCACAAAGAACACCATCATCAACAATCACCATCAACATTATCATCAACTCCATCAGTAACATCATCATCATCACCATCATCAACTCCATCAGTAACATCACAATCATCATCACCATCATCAACTCCATCAGTAACATCACCATCAACATTATCATCAACTCCATCAGTAACATCACCATCATCATCACCATCATCAACTCCATCAGTAACATCACCATCAACATTATCATCAACTCCATCAGTAACATCATCATCATCATCATCAACATTATCATCAACTCCATCAGTAAAATCATCATCAACAGTATCATCAACTCCATCAGTAACATCACCATCATCAACTCCATCAGAACATCATCACCATCATCAACATTATCATCAACTCCATCAGTAACATCATCATCATCATCATCATCATTATCATCAACTTCATCAGTAACATCATCATCATCATCATCGTCAACATTATCATCAACTCCATCAGTAACATCATCATCATCAACATTATCATCAACTCCATCAGTAACATCATCATCATCATCATCATCATCATCAACATTATCATCAACTCCATCAGTAACATCATCATCATCATCATCAACATTATCATCAACTCCATCAGTAACATCATCATCATCATCAACATTATCATCAACTCCATCAGTAACATCATCATCATCATCAACATTATCATCAACTCCATCAGTAACATCATCATCATCATCGTCAACATTATCATCAACTCCATCAGTAACATCATCATCATCATCAACATATCATCAACTCCATCAGTAACATCACCATCATCATCATCATCAACATTATCATCAACTCCATCAGTAACATCACCATCATCATCGTCAACATTATCATCAACTCCATCAGTAACATCATCATCATCAACAATATCATCAACTCCATCAGTAACATCACCATCATCATCATCAACATTATCATCAACTCCATCAGTAACGTCATCATCACCATCTTCAACAATATCATCAACTCCATCAATAACATCATCATCAACTCCATCAGTAACATCACCATCATCAACTCCATCAGTAACATCATCATCAACAATATCATCAACACCATCAGTAACATCATCATCATCATCAACAATATCATCAACTCCATCAGTAACATCATCATCATCATCATCAACAATAGCATCAACTCCATCAGTAACATCACCATCAACACCATCATCACCATCACATTAATCATTTTTGAACACATGAAACTATATTCATCATCTGCATCAATCATTAATGCAAATAATTCCCTCATAATCATCATGGAGATCAATCATGATCCTAAGAAACATTATCTAATCCAGGTCAACACTGAATAGTATTAAGGAGAACATTACTACAGTCAAACCTGTCTATAGCGACCGCCCAAGGGAAACTGAAAAAGTGGTCTTTATAGTCAGGTTCCTTTAGTACATGTTTCAATGAGAAACCATTTTCAAGGGAAACAAAAAATGTGGTCTTTGTAGACAGGTGGTCACTAAAGCAGGTTTGACTGTAGTATCAAACCCATGAAAATTATCAAATCCTCTCCAACTATATGAATATACTAAAATCATGCCATTAATTAGTTAATCATTTCAATTTACCGACTTCAGTCAATTTATTCTTTTATTCATAATTCAATTCCAGATATTTTGTACCAACTGAACAGATGGACAGCTGGCGCTCCAGAAACTTCGACTGTAACTGGGATTACTTACAAGTGTGAATATGGGCCAAATTTCTTAGCCTGAATCAGTGAAATGCATAAATATCTAGATAAATCTCAGAGAAAAATTTCATTGCTGATTATATTTCCACTAGAGAAACCATTTGATGAGCATCGTAAATATGTCTGGATTGATCTTGAATCAACTTTACACCAAATGATTCTCTAAAATCATTTTCCAAATCCGTCAAGGCAGTGAGTGCTCTCAACCCCTCAACTGGGAGCAAACCAGAGTATGATCTCTCTTTTCAATTCATTTACAATTCCATTCACAAAATGGTACAAATATAGACAAATATATCAAAATCTTACAAACATGGAATTCTTCATCTATCTATCAAACTTTTAACAGAGTGAAAACAAAAATGAAATCAAAACTGAAAAGACAGTATTCTTTAACCGTCAAACTTTGTAAGTTTTACTAGGTAATATAGTAGTACTGATTGGAAGGAATGTACACATATGAAGATGAAGGCACACATTCAAAGTTTGATATCTTTTTTTTTTTAAATTCTGCTAAAAACTGTAAAAGCCCTAAATAAAACTAACTCAATATTCTCCACAATGGCTTGTAAAAGAAAAAAAAATGGAACTATAAAACGTAAAATACTGACAAAAAAAAGATACATCACAGCTAACCAACTAGACCCCCCCCCCCCCCCCCCCCCCCCCCGGCTCAAATAGATGTTTGATTTAAACTTGAAGAATTCTCGCCAAAAAGTAATAAAAACAAAATTTCCCACAAAAAGCAGTATATAATACAGCATTATGGTTTTGCTAAAAGGCATTTCAAGATCCTCTTCTTCTTTATATGCATATTGTGTAACCATGAAAAATGTACCAGCATTATGATAAATTTTACATTTTTAAAATCATATACATGTATATCGAATACTTTTGTAGTTGTTGTGTTATCACAAAATTTCACCAAAAAAACCCTGTAGTTTGGAAACCTTTATAATGATGGTGCATTTAAAGGTCATAATCGAGGGGGGGGGGGGGGGGTTACTTTTTTACTCAGTAGAGGGGGGATCATGAATTTAACGTGCCCTCCAGATTTCCTAAAACAAATCATGCATTTGAATACAGGTAACAATAGCATCCTTCACTGATTGCATCAAATAGGCATTACTAAGAAACATACTACACACAACATAAAAGACAAAAGTTGTTAATGGAATAATAGAAAATTCTTTTATAAAAGTTCTGCAAATTTCATGAGCTACAAATGTAACATGCATATGTTTTACCATGTTTTATTCAAGTGTAGAGTACAAAAAGATATTAAGGCACTTCACATGATTTACTTACTCCCTACAGCCAAACATTGCTCAAGTCCAGGGCCCAGTTTCATAAAACTTGTTATCAATAACAAATGCTAAATTTCTATGGCAAATTTGCCCTCGGCTAATCAGATGCCATGATTTTCAGTAGTTTATAACAGTTATTGTAACTTGTTATTGGCAACATTTTTATGAAACAGAGCCCAGATACATTATAAAACACGCTCTGATTAGTCTTAGCCAACAGTCTGCATTGTTTTAAGTAATCGTCCTTGTTGATCATACAGTACATATCTATGACGAATGGGCAAATAACAATTAAATATTTATCTGTTTGGAGAAGGGAGGGAGTTAAGTTATATACTTTAAAACAGATTTAATGCCCTCCTGGCTCTAAACACTAATGTAAATGTACTCTATATGAGCTAGATGGTCACTGTAAGCATACATAGTATTTTTATATTTTTCATCAACTTCTCATATAAAACGTAGGAGTACATGGATTTATCGTTTAGTTTTTGTAGAAAGATTAACACTTTCAAATGCCAAAGAACTTTGTGAATCTTGCAGGTGATCCAGATTTGCAAAAAACAGATAAATCAAATAAGATTTATCTCATGGTATTAAACATGCAAACTATTTGAATTCATTGTTTTCATATAACTGAGACCTTGTTGTGACTTTTTATTTTGAAATATCATTAGTACACCCACTTCTTTGAACAGTATATAATTTGTAACTATACTTTGTGTAATTTACATCAGACAAAGCACAACAAAACTCATGACAGTGATCAAAATACATGTTTAGGCACTTTCGATTTTGAAATTAAAAGTGAATGATGATCTCAGCATTGGTGCAATATCCATTGCAATATTAAATCTATCTGTTTCTCCCTAGACAGCTGGGAATGTGAAACAGCATGGCATTCTAGGCAGGTATTATTGTTCCTCACTGTAAGCTCATAAGGGTTATAACTTCTGATACGAAATTCCCATATGTGCAATTACAATCATTGGTTTGTTATAAGTTCATAAGGAATGCATTTGGTTCAATATCATCTTTATTCTTTCTCGAGTTTTATTTTACATTTTTAAATCCCAATATAGAAATATCTCTACAACCATGTTGCAAAGCTTTGTTAAACTCAGTAGGTTTGTTCTTCTTAACATACACCAATTACCTATAGTGGGTGATTTATTAATCTACAGATAAACTCAAGTTTTATCTATTAGATGGCTTGATGAACTGATCTGAAAGACCATTAGTCAATAGATTCATTCAACCCATAATTCAAAATTCATTATAATCAAGCACATTAAAAAATATAAAACCTTCAAAATATGGAAACTCCTAATTCAATGTATTTACGGTATCAAGGATACCGTCCAAGGTATGCTCGCAAGCGTTATGTAATAATTGTTCTAACATCGCTTTGTATTTCATGGGCTTTTATTGTAAATTGCCATTTTCAGTATTCCCAATAAACCATTAAAATCAATTAAATTCAATTGATGAACTGTGTGTGACCTTTAGATCTTGTGGATAAGCTGACAAACTTGATGTTTACAATTCCTTCTTACTGATCCTCGGTCCTCTCTTTTTCTGCTTCTTTTCCTTCTTCTTGGGCGTTGGAGGCATATCAAACATCTGAAAGGCAAGAGAAAGGTTAGACAATCATCTGTTCAGGATGTCTTTAAAAAAGAAAACGAGCTCAAAAAGGAAATAAAATACAGGCACTGCACCCGACATAAAATTTTCATCATAGATGACAGAAAAATAGAGATCGTATCCAACTCTTAAGATATAGTTTGTACGGTGTTTCTTTCCATTGTTCTAAATATTTCTTTCCTGTATATCATTCATTTCCTCTATATATTGTATTTCTTGGTACCACCAACCCACTACTACTCACCCCACACATAGATTTGCATGTAATATCTATATATGTTTTTGTATGTGTTATTGTTTAATTTTAAAAAAAAATATTGTATTTTGATATTGTAATTTTAAGCAGGGGATGATCCCCGATAAACCTCTGTGGTTTTTGATCACCCCCTCTGCAGGTTCATCTTTTGTTGCAATGCTTTTATACTTGAATGTAATTTATACTGTATTTTATGAATCTGTGGAAATAAATGAAATTGAATTGAATTGAATAATATGCTATAGGTACATTTCGCTTGTTAAAAATAATCGAAGGTGTCGTGAGGAATGACATGAAATCCCTTCAGATGTTATAATCAGACAAGTCGATTCAATCCATTTTTTAATTCAAGTTTATTTCCACAATCCTTCATTCCAGTAGCAAAAGTAAATTGGAATGAAACTTGATATGTTCTCACACTGTTCCACTTGAATCACAATATATTATACAGTTATGGGTGTGCCAGATGTTTCAATATTTTGTCCTTGACTGGTGATGGAGTTTTGGTGTTAGATTCTCAGACGAACGCTGTTGAGGGTACCAGTTATTCCATTTTATTCTGTTCTGTCAAACCATAGACTGCCCTACTGAAATGTATAATATTCAGTATCGAATATATTTCATATTTTTTATTATCAAAAGGACAAGGATAAGGATTATGTTTCCTTTCAAGGTTGCAGCCTATTCAGTTTAATGTTACATGTAAGTCCTTGTCCAATATGTTTTTAATGTGTATTTAATGAAATATATCTGATTGTTATGTGTATTTTTTTTTTAACTGAATGAAATAAAGTTGAATAGAATTGAAATTTAAATTCATTTCAAAACAGCCAATTCCTGAATTGTAAGAATTCAAGGCAATTAATCTACTATTCAATATAGGGTGATTCTGTGCAATAGTCCCATACAATATTTCTTTATCCATAGATTTCGTTCAAAATTTAATTTCTTGAGATGACCAGTGAATAATGGTGGACTCGTGTATCACTATCAGTAGTCATAATCATATCAAGAGATTTTTCGTTTTTTGATGAAATAAATGTAAATAAACAGGGAAAAGACAGAGCAAATGCTTGTTGGTCATTAAACTGAAAACCATCAGAGCCCACTTCCATGTGTCTTTAAACTTAAAGTGCATTAATACTTACGTCCTCATTGTTTAATCTGCTGTATGGGTTCACATAGTTCTCGTCCCTCTTAACAAAATTAAGTTCTTGTGATGACTATTTAGGGAAAGAAATGGAAAAGAAAAAAAAGAAGTTATAATCACACAAGCAATAATATCTACAATATTTGTATCAAATGATTCAAATCCCTTGCAATATCAGATAAATTTACACCTGTATTCAAAAGAATTATATAATGAAACATTATAGTTTCTTAGTAAATTTCAAATATATTCTGTAAGGTTGGATTCTTTGTTCGCAGTGAAATTAAAAGCTCAATATCATTTAAGGACCGTCAACACTACTGGGCCAGAAGGGATTAGACCACACAGCGAGGTCACTGACAGGTGGCTATCTCATTAACTCGGCTCTCAACTAACATAAGAAAAAGAGGATCATGGGGGACCAACAGGCACCGATTGGGGAAGTTTTGTATATAGAGGGAGCAAGTAGCTACAAGTAGGACATGGGGCTTTAACAAAGTGATATAGTGTACTTTAAATCTCCCTTAGAGCATAAGCAAGGGCTCTGTCATAACGTTTTGTTGTTGAAAGGGTCTGGATTGAACTTTTTAGTTTTTACTGTCTGTATGTACAAGCCCTATGAAAAACTTCAAAAAATGTTGGGTCCAGCCCTGGATGTTGGGCACCCATGTGTCCCGGGCACCTCCTAAGTGTTGAGCTAGATGCTTATAGTATTGGAAAATGGAAAGTATTGAACTAATGAACATTCACATGAATATATTCCTAGTGGGAAATCACTTTACCATGTAGCTTTGAAGCTACAGTCCTGGGCATTGTACTTCTGCTGGATAGAATTTGTACACTAATCTAAAAATTCAAAACTATTACAATTAAAAAATTATAATTACAGCACTTAGGCCCTACTCATCGTTTCATACATAGCCAATAGAAACAAATTGGTACTCATGTTTCAATGAGCAAAGCAGTACAAAGAAACAGTACTACGCCTTTTTATCATACCGGTATTCTCCTTCGTATACAACACTACAATCAGTCATGTCATTTTTCATTACAAACACAATACATTAACATGATACACAATACATAAAACATTTTAAACACTCAACAATCGCCTGGATATCCAAGCTATAGGCCAAATTTCATACCCCTTCTAAGCTATTCCTTTCCCTTTCACCTGAAACCCGAATCCTGTTTGCAATTCTTACCAGGTGAAGCAGAGTCTGGTGCGAGTTGTCATAGTAACCGGTGCTCAGCGCAAACTCGAAAGCCCACTTGAGAATAGAGCTCCATTCTTTCTTCTTCTTGAGTATCTTGTGTGTGATGTCCGGTAACCTGAGGACAATGTCGCAAACAAAAGCTACGTTCTCCAAAATCAGCGACAATGCTGGGAAGAAAGAAAGATAATTTCATATTCAATTCTCACTTTTCATTTAACTCTGAAAATCATATTTGATTGATCATTTCACAGACCAGGGGAGTGTTTCACGAAAGCTAAGATCGACTTTAAGTTGGACTTCAACATGACAGGCCATTCATGCCACTGGTTGCTCTCACCATTGGTCTCTCAATTATGATCTTTAGATAATATTTTTCCTTTCCTAATGAACTATCAAAAAAGCTCAATTCTGTAGATGTGTGACCATGATTTTTACGTCCATTGAGAGACCATTGCCAGTAAATGGTGAGAGCAAAGAGTGGCATGAACGACCTGCCAACTTAAAGTCAATCTTAGTCTTAGTCCCCCAGTACATGTAAATGCAGATGGTGTTCCAAGAGGGCCTATTGAAACATGAATATATTCATATTTTAAAACTTTAAATTATGGTAATTACCCAACATTGAATAAAACATCGGTACATGCATATAAATGTTATTGTAACCTACTAAAAGGGGCTATATTCTGGAAGGAGGATGGACAAATGGTTTGAATAATACTAGATAAATCACATTTCAATTTGAAATGTATAAAATATTAAATATTAAAAAACAAAACCACATTAGCAATCACATTTGAGCAATAAATATCCATATCATTCTGCAAGCTTTCTACACTGTTCCATCCATACCTTGTCGCATAACAAGATACAAAATTCTCTTTGTTAAAACATTCTCTTTTTTGAAACATTATCTTTGAATCTGTCCTATGATTTGTTTAGAGTTTACAAAAGATTTGAATCGTACTATCCATGTATTTTCTTTTTCCTCTTCCTCCCCTAAAAAAAGTACCCAAAACAGTTTAATAATACAGCCTACTTTTAATAATCGGTATAAGTAATTACCATTTTATTATTGTGCAGGTGGGACCAGGGCTTTTGATCAAGACTTAGCATCCATGTTCCACACAATTCAATCAAGTTTAGAAAGGAAATTAGAAATAAAAGATGGTAAAAGCTTTGACTCACTATCTTTCACTGTCTGATCTGTAGGAAATTTATCTCCTACCAGAAATTGTTGTTCGTTCAAAAATAGTCTTGATTGAACCAGCATCTTTGAAAGAAAAAGAGAAAAACATACGAAACATGAAGCATTTATTTAAAAAAAAATGGTGATAGAGATAACACACTAAAAATAATTATAAAAATATAGTAAAATAATTGATGATAAACATAAACAATGTATATTAATTGAACATAAATAATATCTACAATACTTATAGTAGTAACAATAATGGTCTTAATTATTTAATGCAGCTACATGTATTACTGATTTTCTACACGTACTTGCGAAGTTGATATTGTAGTTTACAATAATGGACCTTTTCTCTGAGCAGGTGCTTTCCATCATTTCAATCTCCTATAGAAACAGTGATGCATTAAACTCCAGGGCCGAACTTCTTTTAAAATCTCATGTCGGTTTTTCTATCTGCTTCAGGTACTTTATACACAACAGGTAGTCTTGCCAACAGTTCAAATGTTTATTTAGGATCTAAAACTAATCTATAGATGTCTTGTCAGCTCTTATGAAAGGCAATCTATGATTGTACATAAATTGCAAGACTTGGCAAGTGCAATTTAACTTGTTCCATCAAAATAATATTTTTTTTAAATAAAAAGGCAACAAAGCTCTCCTAAAAAGATATTTGCTTGAAATCTGGAGGGTGGACGTAAAATAAAAGCTACTAGGTGTGCACTGTGCACACTCATTTTCTCTTATGTTCTGCCTCTTCAACGGATTCAGAATGCTGCTGCTGCTCGGCTAATAACCTGTTCCAGAAAACATGATAAAATTACCCCTGTCCTCGGCTCTCTTCACTGGCTTCCCGTCTCTCCATGCGTCATCTTCAAAATCCTGATCATAACTTACAAAGTCCAACATGGACATGCTCCAATTCACATCACAGATCTTATCTCACCCAATAACCAGACAACCTCTATAAGACTTCCTTCAACAACCTATGCTCATCTACAACTGGCTCCGGGACCAAGAACTCAAACAAGATATGGAGACCGTGCCTTCAGCGTAGCTGCTCCTAGGGGTTGGAAAAGACTTCCTCTTGAGTTGCAGGATGCTCCTTCGTTGGATTAATTTAAATTCTCCCTAAAACATTCCTTTTTAACTCTCCCTGTTAGTCCTTAGCTTTCAATGTCATACTCTTGTTATTCACTGTACATGTAATGTAGTTGCCTTAATTTGACTTAGTAATGTTTTGGCCTAAAATGAATTATTGTATTTTAATGTATTGACTGGATGTATCTGTGCTTGCTGTATTTTGAAATAATGTAGGTTGATTAGTATTGTAGTTTGTAAATATAATACTTGATTGAATGTATTACTATCTGAGAATCACCATTTTTATGTAAAGCGCTTAGAAACATATTGTATTAAGCGTTCTAGAAACACAATGTATTATTATTTATATTGTGACAGTGCACTTGAAATTGCTTTATCACTCAAGTCATTTGTTTATTGTACCATTGATGAATAACATGACTACATGGATTATGTAATAGCACTTCCTCAGGCAATGTGTCTAGCATAGCACCATCTATTGCTGTGCACTTGATACACATTCAGAAGTCAACATGAATTTAGTTGTGTTGTGAGGATCCAGGATCCCATTTTTGCCAGCGCATCATGGGTATTTGAGCCATATTATTGTCATAAAGGCAGGCATAGAGGTTAGTTTTGTTGTATATTCAATGTATTTTTATGAATTTTCAAAACATAAAGTGGAAGTTAGTGTGTGTGTTTTGGACTTCATACTGAGAGATTTTGATGTTAGTGTGTAATGTACATCATCATTGTGTAAGAAACACAAGCCTATGCTGTTATGATGTATGTACTGTACATTTGACCTTGCATTAAGGACATGAATAACAGTGAAAATACTGCTAAATACTTTGAAGGTTAATTATGAAAGTGCTGAAGCACTAAGAACAGATTTAGAATTTATTATTGTTTAGTTCATTGTTTATTCAAGCTACATGTTAGTTGAGTCTAGTTAAGACAGCTGTAGTGTTAGTTTGTGATTTATGTAAAGCCATAATGCAGATGGACTACAATAGTAACTGAGGTTATTTTAATAGGTTATAAAGATTATAACACAATGCACATTTATGAATTTCTCCAAGAGACTGTATTATTGCTATGAATTTGATAATGCTTTGTTGTACTCGTATTTTAAATCCTTTATCTGTGTCATTATTCCACAGTTTTCATGGAATGGAATGAAATGGTATGGAGTACAATGAAGCAAGATTTACTCCAATCATTAAAGCTACAAATTCCTGTAGAAACTAGGGCTGCAACGAGTAGTCGAATGCTTGAGTACCAGCACTGTTGACAACTACTCGAGTACGATATCTCGTACTCTAATATTCGGGCCGCAAAAAAAAATATATAAAAAAAATATTAAAAATTCCCGGTCACCTGGCACTGTCCAGGCCGATGCTTACCTGTGCCAGGCAGAGCGGCGGCCGCTGGCATGGTACTGTCAGTAAAAATGTTTCCCAACTCAAGCACTGTCAAAATCACCACTCAGAAACTGGGACCAAATGTCCGGATTTCTGTTTGGACTTGGAGGAAAATGGATTATTCTGCCATCTTTGGTTTTTAAAACAGCATTGTTTACTGTTATTATTATTATTAAATCGACGCCTTTAACTGCAACTCAAAGTAAAATTGCATGCGTTTTCGGCGACGGACCTGGAATAATGTTTCAGTGGTATGGTGGTGGCAAAAAAAAAAAATTCAAAAAAAATTATTAAAAAACATGGCGTCCGAATATATATGGGAGTGTACTCGGGTACCTCATTACACTGTTGTGCACAGCCTTAGTAGAAACCTTTGTCCAGACTCTTTCTTTGTTATCGACCTTGCTACAACCACAACTTACATAGGCCACAGGCATATTACAGAGGTTGTACATTTTCCTGCAATAATTAACTCCCATTAACTCCCAATAGCGACAACAAAACTTGACTTTCAAGTTTCAACCAATCAGGACTATCTAGAAATTGTGTTTAGCATGTCTTTGCTACAAGTACTCCAACAATCAATAAAATCTGGCACTTTAGCATTCAAAATTGATGAAATCTGTCAAATCAATTTCAGGTCTACCGTAGTCAACGTTAGAGCCAAGATGCCTACATGAGCCTTCTCTCAGCAAGATATAATTATTTTTTTTTTTTTATTATTTTTTTTTTACCTGTTCCATCTTCTCTAGAAGTAAAGAGACCATCTTATGTTGCTTCTCAAAATCATACGATTCAAAGAGACTCTGGAGGGCAGGCATGTGCTGGCTTCGTCGCTCGATGAACAGCTCACGATCTGTACTCATTTTGTCAAGGGAACTCAATTTTGTATCTCATCACTGAGGTATTTCTCCTCTTTCAAATATTTAAAATTAGAGGACATTTAAGCACAAGCGAAAATGCAAGAATGTTGAGTGTAAAAACACATGATCAAATGGACCATGAACATATTATATATACTGTAGCTGTAGGCTAGACTTGCGTGGCTAAATCATTACCGGTATTCAATTTGTCCGCAAAAATCTGATGTTAGTAAATATGAAGTCGGGACATTAACAATATATAGCTTTTTCTAGACCAAAAGCTTCAGTCTCTGATATCGACGGTTGTTCTGGAACAGTTCCGCTGAGATTACATCTGGCTCCTCTGACCGCCTCTGACTAGATCTATGTATGGGGAATGTTGACAAATGTCAGTTTTATTAAAAAATTACCCATATCAGATGGTTATTTCTGTCTAGACTAAGCTTTTTCATGCTTGTCTTTTGAAAATATTAGTGCCCACGATCTCCGACCTGAGCGGAGGAAGGATACAAGAGAGAAAGAGAGAGACGTCATATTTTTCAACAAAAAAAAAAGAAGCAATAGACTAGTCTAGATCTATCATAAATTTAAAAACTGTTTGACAATTTAAAATTAGATTTTCATATATCTAGACACAATCAAATCATACAATTCAAAAAACATACGTCAAATCTAGATTCTATAGTAGATAAGTGCATCGAATACACCCTGTTTTGTTTTTTCAGGGGGGGGGGGGCAGGTGGCAAGCCTACATGCAATGCAATGTAGATCTAGCCCTAGAAATTCTAATTTCCAGATAAATTGAGACTTAGCTAGATTCTACTTCTACTCTTTGCACAAAATGACTATGGGCACATGACACGAGCATTCTGCAACAGAACAGGAAATGAAAGGATACACTTGGCTAGATCAGGGTCATCTGAATCATCCCTCGAGCCACCGTCTCCCCCTGATTTCCCCGCCGACTGCTTCCCCGCTTCGACAAGCTGAAGAAACGCTCCCGCCCACATACTGGCGCTCAAAAGTACGATGTACTCGTTGAACTTCATTCTCAACCTATGTAATAATGATAGTGAGATTTGGGGAATCTCCTAGCCGAAGCAATGATCTTTGCTCATGAATAAAACAAAAACTAGCAGAGAAAAGACACGTCTACAGTTCTCTTTTAGATCGCGACCTACATTTACCAGGGACGTAGTCGTAGTAGATCGTAGATTCAGTGCAGTCAATGAGTGGGTAGCATATATTGGCACCAAGATTAACGGCGATATGAATATTCATTATTCCCTACGTCACAGACGTGCGGCGTGCGTACTCTGTCTATGGATCTGTCTTATACACAGGTACATGTACTGTACTAGTACAAGAGTACGTTCGCAAGCATTACTACATACATTGCTCCGGAATGAAGAGAATCATTATAAAGGACGAATTACTCCGTGAAGCCAAGTACAAGCAGGGAATTGAAATAGCAAACGTTCCTCGGAGCGGCTATACGATCCCTAATCTAGCTAGTTTTGTAATGACAGTTTATAGGAAAATGGACATTTAGTAGGCCTACTGTTTAGTTGTTCAATAAAATCACTCAGTTTGATTTGATTCGAGATATATCTCATTAATAAAACAGTATAAAGGCTCTATGAGTCTCACACGAACGATCGCCACTAATCTTGGTGCCAACACCGTTAATCTATGCTCCAAATTTAGTACTACCTTTTTTGTGCCCTATATGCTAAAGACCCATGCAGGGTTGGATTCTTTAGGAGAACAGAAGATTGATATTGTTAAGTTGTTTCATAACATCTCTCAGTTTGATTTCATTCGAGATATATTTCATTAATAAAACAGTATAAAGGCTCTATGAGTCTCCAAGAACGATCGCCACTAATCTTGGTGCCAACACCGTTAATCTATGCTCCAAATTTAGTAATACATTTTGTGTGCCCTATAATGACCCGGGGTTGGATTATTTAGGAGAACAGAAGATTGATATTGTTAAGTTGTTTCATAACATCTCTCAGTTTGATTTGATTCGAGATATATCTCATTAATAAAACAGTATAAAGGCTCTATGAGTCTCACACGAACGATCGCCACTAATCTTGGTGCCAACACCGTTAATCTTTGCTCCAAATTTAGTAATACATTTTGTGTGCCCTATAATGACCCGGGGTTGGATTATTTAGGAGAACAGAAGATTGATATTGTTAAGTTGTTTCATAACATCACTCAGTTTGATTTGATTCGAGATATATCTCATTAATAAAACAGTATAGAGGCTGTATGAGTCTCGGACGAACCATCGCCACTAATCTTGGTGCCAACACCGTTAATCTATGCTCCAAATTTAGTACTACCTTTTTTGTGCCCTATATGCTAAAGACCCATGCAGGGTTGGATTCTTTAGGAGAATGGAAGATTGATATTGTTGTTTCATAACATCATTCAGTTTGATTTGATTCGAGATATATCTCATTAATAAAACAGTATAAAGGCTCTATGAGTCTCACACGAACGATCGCCACTAATCTTGGTGCCAACACCATTAAACTATGCTCCAAATTTGTTTATATATTTTGTGTGTCTATAAAGACCGAGGCTTCCCAGGATCATTTAAGAGAATGGAAGATTGATATTGAGAAGTTGTTCGATAACATCACTCAGTTTGATTTGATTGCGCATTATGTCTCTTAATAATGGTGTAAAAGTCTCTAAAGAGAAGAAAATAAAGAGAGAAAGAGAGAGAGAGAGAGAGAGAGAGAGAGAGAGAGAGAGAGAGAGAGAGAAGAAAAAGATGTGAAAGGGAAAGAGGAGAGAAAGGAAAAGAAAGAAGAGGAAAAAGAAAAGAAAAAGGGGGAGGGGAAGAAAGAGATCAGGGGGAGGGGGGCCGAAATGGGCCTTGCCTCCCATGATGTTGCTTCCACTTCCCCCTTCCAGCAAAACAAAAAGAGAGAAGAAGGAAAGGGAAAGCAAAAAGGAAAAGAGGAGATAACGGAAAGGGAAAAAAAAGAGGAAGAAGATAAGAAAAGAAGGGAATATCAGTTACTATTTTTTCCGCCAACAAGTTGTGGATCCGGGGGGGGGGGGGCAAAAGGCCCTTGCCTCTTCCCCCCCCCCCCTCCCCCACCGCCAAAAAAGAAGGGGGAAAAGGGGAAGGGAAAGAGGAGAGCTAAAAGGGAACAAAAAAGAGAAGCGGGGGGGGGGGTGGGGGGGGGGGGGGGGGGGGTAAGAGTACACTTTTTTTGGTTCTCGAAATTTGAAAATTTGACATTTTGTTCCGTAGGGGGGGGGGGTGTTGAGGTCACCTTTTTTAGGATAGCCATTGGCATAATTAAAAAAAATAATTAAAAGGGGGGGAGGGGGGTTGCTCCAAGATACACACATAACAAAAAACCGAACAGGGGAGGTTCAACCCCAAATCCCCCCCCCCCCCCCTCCGTACGCGCCTGCTCTTCTGATTACAGTTTTTGACTCTTAATCCTCGTTTGTTTTCAGTCCCCCCCCCCCCCCCCCTCCCACGCGAAGCCCGGAAGCTTGTACATTTCATTAAATCATTAGAGAAAGAAGACGTTTCGTTGTACCGTTTTCTACTCTTAATCCTCGTCTGAATTCAGTTTCCCCCCCCCTTCCTATCCGCGCGCGCGAAGCGCGGAAGCTTTTACGTTTCATTAAATCTTTAGAGAAAGAAGACGATTTGTTGTACCGTTCCCGACTCTTAATCCACACCTCCTGCGCCAAGCGCGGAAGCTTTGACATTTAATTCAATTATTAGAGAAACAAGACGATTTTGATACCTTGTCCGCCCCCGGAAACTCATGGGTTGAAGGCAAATTACGGTCAGATAAGTATTCAGGGGCCCGCCTTAGGGCCCCTGGTGGGGTAGAGGGTGCGGAAACCCCTGAATCTCAGGGGTTTCAGGCATTTGATTACGGTCAGATGAACATAATTTTTATACCTTATTTGTGAAACTGGCAGGACACTGATTTGCGTGAGGTCCAGCGAGCGGAGCCCCAAGAAGCTCAGGGGTTTTAGGCATTACATTGCCGTCAGATTAGCATCCAGTAGGGTCTAGGGGCAGAGCCCCCGGAAGCTCGGGGGTTTAGGCATTTGATTACGGTCAGATGAACATATTTTTATACTTTATTTGTGACACTGGCAGGACACTGATTGGCGTGAGGTCCAGCGGGCGGAGCCCCAAAAGATCAAGGGTTTTAGGCACTAAATTTTGGTCAGATGAGTAGGCAAGGGCCTGCCCAAGTGCCCTTGGTTGGGTCCCGGGACAGAGCCCCCGGAAGCTCAGGGGTTTTAGGCACTAAATTGTGGTCAGATGAGTATCAAGGGGCCTGCCCAAGGGCCCTTGGTTGGGTCCTGGGGACAGAGCCCCCGGAAGCTCAGGGGTTTTAGGCGTCTAATTACGGTCAGATGAGCAATTTTTTGATACCTTATTTTGTTGTGACACTGATAGTTAACTATTTTTTCTTTCTTGCTCTCTTTCTTTCTATTTCTCTTTAAAATGCTTTTCCAAAAAAAAAAATTGGGGGGGGGGGGGGGGGGGAGCTGGAGGCTCCCGATCCCCGCCGTTCAGCGGGCCCTGACATGTAGGCATCTCAAGAAGCATATTTCTTGCCTGGCTGTTAATTTACAAACGCATACAAAAGTATAATTTACTAAAGAATGAGGACAAATCTCGGAAAATTATGTCATTTCAGCATTATTTGTAAACCACCGTTATGGAATTAGAAATAAACCACGTTTAAATTTTATTTCCCCGAGCCCCCTCCTCGATCAATACGCCAGTTCCCCCCCCCCCCCCCCCGATCTACTCTTTGTTGGCGGAAAAATCGCAACTGATCTCCCTTACCTTTCTTATTTCTCTTTTTTCTTTCCCTTTCTCTCTTCTTTCCCTTTCCATTCCCTTCCTTCTCTTTCTGTAAGATTTGATGGGGGGGGGGGGCGAGGGGGAGGTAAGGTCATTTCGGCCCCCACCCTTCTCCACATGTTGTTGGCGGGATTAACTGCAAATGATCTATTTCCCCTTCTTTTCAGCTTTTTTCGGTCCCTTTTAGCTCTCCTTTTTTCCTTTTCCTTCTTTCTCTCTTTTTTTTAGCGGGCAGGGGAGGCAAGGGCATTTTGCCCCATCCCCGCCCCGATCCACAACTTGTTGGCGGAAAAATCGCAACTGATACCCCCTTCTTTCTATTTCCTTCCTTCTCTCTTATTTTTTTGATTGGGGGGGGGGGGGGAGAGGGGGAGGCGAGGCTCTTTCGCCCCCCCCCCCCCCCGATCACTTCTTCCCCCTTTTCTTTTCTTCTTCCTCTTCTTTCTTTCCCTTTCTCTCCTCTTTTCCTTTTCTCTTTCTCTTTCCCCTTTTTTTCCCTTCTTTTTTTTTCCTCCTTTTTTCCCTTCTTTTTTGTTTCCCTTCTTTTTTTCCTTCTTTTTTCCTCAGGGGAGGGCGCCCGGGCCCTCTGGATCCGCCACTGCGGCCAGGCACTAGTGTAGGAAAACTTCAAATGTTAATCAGTTATATGATAAAATAACTTGTCTGTGGCCTCACGAAAAAGTATATATTTAGTCAGGCCTAAATTGAGTTGCAAAACAATTATTGTGTTAAAAGGAAAAAACATATTTGATGACATTCGCAATACCACAATTGCCGATACAATTGGATTACTCGTTTTTGTTCTTTTTCAAAACTTACTTGCTGAGCCCCATGAAACTCAGGGATTTGAGTCATTTTATAACGGTAAGATAAGCATTCAGGGGCACGGGGGAGGCTCAGGGGTTTAAGGCATTAAATTACGGTCAAATGAGCATATTTTTATACCTTATTTGTGACACTGGCAAGGTCACTAATTGCGTGGGGTCCAGGGGCGGAGCCCCCGGAAGCTAAGGGTTTTAGGCGTTTAATTACGGTCAGGCAAGTGCGTAGCTAGGATTTTATTTTAGGGGGGTCGGAGCACGCGATGCGTGCGAATCACTTACAGAGCGCGTTCCCTGGGGGGGGGGGGGGATGCAGGGAGGGGCGAGTTTCCCCTCCCTCATACGCGAAGCGCGGAAGCTTTGACGTTTCATTAAATCATCAAAGAAAGAAGACGATTTGTGTACCGTTCTGGACTCTTAATCCTTGTCTGAATTTCAAAATTGTTCTTTGTCTGCTCCTTTTTCTTCCTATGACCTCTTTCCTTTTCTCCTCTCTTTTTTCTTTGGGGGGGGGGACTTATTGTGACAC